CTCTCCTCTGATGCCTTCTGCCTGATGCTTACTAGGTTTCAGTTTTGTGACATCACAGGCCTCTTGTAACCACAGATGACCTCTAACTCCAAACCCAACCCCTCCCTGGATAAGTTTTCTGTGGTAATGTTTGAACATATGAGGGGAGGGCATTGTTTTTCATAAAGAGGCCCCCTCTCTGCTAAAGTGGAAAATAAGAGGAAGTTGGGGAGCTCAGGCCCAGCTAAGGTTTACAGAACAAAGAGTTTTGAAGAGGCTAACAATATGACCTGGGATCCTCTCCTTCTCACCTTCCTTATTTACTGCTCAGGTGTGTGCAGGCTGGCAACTAGAGCAGGGGATGGAAAGACCAGAGAACTATCTTTTACTCTGAATCTACCTCTCTCACCTCGTGTCTCTCTTGACTTTCAGGGTCTTTGGCTCAGTCTGTCCCGACTCAGCCACCTGCAATGTCCAAGTCTGTTGGGGAGACAGTCACAATCTCCTGCACTGCAAGCAGCAATAATGTTGGACGTGGATATCCACACTGGTACCAGCAGCTCTCTGGTAGTGCTCCAAGAACACTTATCTACGATGCTGATAAGAGACCATCAGGGATCCCAGACCGATTCTCAGGCTCCAGGTCAGGGAACACAGCCTCCCTGAGCATCTCTGGGCTCCAGTCTGAGGACGAGGCTTATTATTACTGCTCATCCTGGGACAACAACATTAAAGCTGACACAGTGTTCCAGGCCAGTGGGGAAGTGAGACAAAAACATTCTGCACACAACAGTGGGTTTTCTCTGTGCGTCCTCAGTCAGGACACTTGTTCCCCCTTGTTTGGCTCAAAGCTAATATTTAAGATCAACTCAAGAAATATATTTTTGTTACCATATCCCACCTCCAAATCATATCTGTTGCAACAACATGTAGTCTGGTATTTCGGAATGGAAAGAGAATCCTATAACCTAGGATTTGACTTCCCAAGAAAATCTACAATATGATAAGGTGAAAGCCAAGAACACACAGTTCAACTGTGTGTCACTTCAAAAACTCAACCATTTCTGAGGTCTATACAGTCATATCACTTACTATTCAAATAGGTGGGTATCAATACTCTAGATAATAAAAAATCCAGTGTACATAAGGCAAGGATGAAAAGTGTCTTAGATGTCACAGTGAAATGAAAAGAGTAAGAAGGGAGAAAAATATATAAAATTTAAAATATATAAACACCAAGAAAAATGAGAATAAGACATTATGGTAAATATTTTGTTCTTATTAGCTGGCATTGTATTTGAGTGTGGTGCACAGTGGCCTTATGAATAATAGATCTGAATCCTTTCCTATTTTGTGCCATACTCACACTTTCTGACACATTAGAGTCCATTGTAACAGTAATTGTGTCGTTCCATCTGGCTGATGATCTTCCTCTCCTTTGCTGACCCCCTTCCTTTCCGAATGTCAGGTCCCTGTCCAAGGAACATATCCTCCTAGCTACATATCCAATATACAAGCATGTTTATCCTAGCAACATAACTGAAGCATGGGCATTCCCATAGGCATGATTATCATGTCAGGACGAATTTTCCTAATCCATCCTGTGAATTTCCAGTACAGAAGATATTTTGATAACTTAGCACCCATCTTTAAGAATTATCTATGGTCCTATGCTCTCTTCTAGAATAGCGGATGTCTGCATTTCCATTGCCCTCAGAGTAAGTGGTCTTCTATGTTGTAAAATGTTTTTACAGGCAAAATAACTGTGTGATTTTATGCATGGTCTTGTGTAGTTGCCATCA